TTTTTTTTTTTTTTTTTTTTGTTTGGACAAAAAAAATTGATGATTGTTTACCCACCACACAATTTTTATACCTAGAGGAGAATTGAGTTGTGGTAAACCATCCACCATCTTCTTTTCCTCAAGAGTCTTCCATATCTACCGTGTCAAAGTTGTTCAATATATTTTGTGATTGTATTGAAACAAGTGGATGCTACAGGCTGTGATATAGCATGCAGTACGAACATTCGATTCAAAGGCATCTTTTTCTCCATGATTAAGCCTCTCATGATGAAACACCTCGCACATTCCATTTTGAAACAAAATGGTAAGCCCCTTTGATTTCAATTTCCCAATCCTCAACAAATTGTTCTTCAGCTCTTGGTATATAGGTATGATTACATTAACTTGCAGCCGTACATTACTCTTTCCTGTTACAACCGTGCTTGAGTTGTTGCCCAACTTCAAGCAATCTCTAAAACTTCCATCAAAATCTGAAAAAATATTCCTTCTTCCCACACATATGATTGCTACATCCCGAGTCAAGGAACCACATATCTTCTCTATTGGCCTTATTCATATTCACGTAAGTCGTCAACAACATCTCTTCTTGAGTCTCTGCATAGTTTGCCTCTTTCTCCTTGCTTTGAGATTCCCATTGAAAATGTCCTAGCTTGTGACAATTATAGCACTCCACTGTGGCCCTGTTGAAGGTTTGTCTGCCTCGTCGCCTTCCTCTGCCTCTAAAACTTCCACGACCTTGACCCCTTCCTCTAGATTGTTCACCATGAGTGATATTCAAAGCGTGTTCTTCTTCAACATGAGAACTCATGCGTTGTTCATGTACAAGCAGGCTGCTTTGCAACTCATTAATGGTTAAGATGGTTGTATCCTTGGACACCTCAATGGAACACACAATATAATGAAACTTGGGGGTCTTAGATCTCAGTATCTTTCCGACTACTTCAACATCTTCTTTGTTCTCACCATTTAGTTTCATCTTGTTGGCTATGCTAAGGGTTCGAGCAAAATACTCATTCACAGATTCTCCTACCTTCATGTGCAGCATTTCAAACTCCTTCCGAAGAGCTAACAAATGTGCACGATTTACCCGTGTTGAACCTTGATATTTATACTTCATAGAATCCCATACGTTTTTTTTTTTTTTTTTTGTATCCTCGTTGAGGGTTGTCTCCAAGATCGAACGTTCTAATGCTTGAAATAGATAATTCTTTGCTTTCAAATCTTTCAATTTATGATCTTCAATGTGCTTCTTCTTGGAGTCTGTTAAAACGATGTGTCCTATTGAATCCCATTCTCCACCAAACCCAGTACTAAATAAGTTTTCCATGAGCATTGCCCGATGATCACAGTACCAATCAAATGTCAGTATTTTAGTATTATGATAAAAGAGCATTTTAGTTATTAAAAAAAACAGGCATTTCTTTTATTTTACCATTTTGATTATTTATTATTTATAATATTTTTTTTCCCCAACGAAGCCGAAAAAAAGACGAATGCGGTGGCCAATAAGCAAAGTAAGAAAAAAAATGGTCGCCTTCTAAGCGTCAGGTGTCCTTCAATCACTCCGGCCCCGTTGGTCTCCATATTTAGAGCCAGTAAACGCTGGTAGGTTGTGGCAGTGGGTCTTCGTCTCCGGTGTGGGTATCATACTGTAGCGGAGTTAATCGCCGTTGTCGTGGGTCTCTCGATTTGGAGGCTGAAAACACCTTGACTGGTTTTCCGCATCTCTGCCGAGGGCATTTCTTACGGGTGACTTGGAACAACAATTGGCTGGTGGCTGATGCTCTCAGTGTTAAAGACTGTTGGAAAATGATCATAGATTTATAACTAAAGAATACATTTTCATTAACATGACTTCTTGTGGGAGCTCGAAGCAAACCCATGATATTATGTTCAAAGTGGACAAATATCATATAACATTGTAGACCTTCGTGATTAGTAACATGGTATCAAACTATGAACTTAACTTAGTTATGTCGAACAAAAAAGTTGTAAGCCTAAAAATCATAGTTAAAAGTGTCGAAGAAATTTCGTATTTTGTTCAAGGTCTCCGAAGAAAGAAGTCGAGTCTCGATTAAAGGGAGTTTCTATTAGAAATCCATAGGCTTCAGGGGAGGCTCTATGGTGTATTTTGTTCGAGGGAGGCTCTATGGTGTATTTTGTTCGAGGGGAGTCTCTATGATCATAGGTAATCTATAGGCTTCAAAGGTGGCTCTATGTAGTGTACTTAATGAGAGGGGAGACTCTATGATAATGAGTTCATAAGTAAGGAAGTCAAAACAAAGTCACAAGAGATAATGCTCTAGACAATATAATACTATTGAATATCGTAGTTTTATTTCAATAAATAAATTCATGATTCTCTCACAAACTTTATTACAATTCATAAAAAATTTAAAACCAAATCTCTTCATACAACCCAAGAATCATAAGGCTTTTCCCCAATATAGTTGCCTGGAGGATCATAATTGCAAACAACAAACTGAGAATTAGCCTTGCAGGGAACTCTAGCACATCCAAGCCGCACCGAGCTCCTTCACACTATCTGAGTGTAGTGCCCACTGATGGTGCTAATATAACACATGCGGAAGCAATTTGGATCTTTGGAACTTTTAGAACATCAATTATAGTAAATAACTAGCATGTTCATAAATATTAAAACTTAATGAATTTGAATACTAACCTTTTGTAGTTCAAATTCTTTTTTCCTCACGAACCGGTTTCGATCCACCACTAGTGTCTTCTCCACTATCCTCCATCCTTAGAATGGAATTGTGGAATCCGGTGAGTGACTAAACTTGGGAGGGATTTAGTATATATGAAGAGAGCGCTTGTGAGAATTTTCTCAAGGTGTTTTTTAAGGAAGGAGCCCTTCCATGTACCATGATCACTCTATTTTAAGAGTCATGTTTTCATGTTCATGCAAATTTGAGATCATCAAATTTTGACATTCAAAATTCAACTCAAATGCTTGGGATTATGTGGCAAGCATGCATGTTTGAGTTAACCAAATTTTGAGTGTCAAAATTCCACTCAAACTTGAGTTTATTTGGCAAGCATGCAAGTTTGGTTCAACCAAATTTTGACACCTCAAAATTCCACTAACATGGATTTTTTCTTTAAATGAACTCAACATTGTGACTTTCTTCGTTTTACTTCAACAATTAATTTGAATAATTAATTTCAAATTAAAGTAACATTAAATGATTAATTAAACTATTTAATTAATATTTAATATTAATTCAAATGCCAATCCCAATCAATTTCGACACATAACTGATTAAGATATTTAAATCTTATTTAAATATCTCAAATTCTCACTTTTTGTTTAATTCGTAAATAAAACAAAAATGCAGTTAAATATATCGTATATATGTAGCGCATATTCCCTAATTTGAATTCGAACACTTCGAACTCACTCGTCACACTATTCTATAGTTTAGTCTGATATGAGCTAGCAGAGGGACCTAATGAACCTATAGGTCATGGGCTCCAACGATCCAAGATTAACTGGTTAAACTCATTAACCTTGTTAACCAACATTCGTTAACTACTAGAACACTCCACTATAGCCTAGTAGTTGCACTACCCTCACTATAGATATATTTCTGTCCATTTGATATAACCATGATTAGTAAGTCGATCTTTCCAGGTTGTTCGTAACTAGAGCTGGGTTAATTAGCCGTTTTACCCCTGAAGTTACTTCTTGTTCCTTATGTTCTACTGATCCTCTTATGAACAATTGGTTTGTGGTCCAATCAGTAAACTAAATCCCTCTCAGACCAATGAGTGGGTGGGGCCCCTTGTTCAAGACTTGGAGTCAGTGGGTAGGAGCGAATTCCATCTTGCACCCCACGTCCCCAGCTATTCACCCAGTCTTACCCTTGCAATGGGAGGCCTATTGAGTCGGCGAACTCGAGCCACTCTCACCCATGCAAATCTAAGGATAATTCCGAATGAACAGGAGTTCATGGTTAGCTCAGGAATAAGATCGAGTTACCTAGGTCATCGAATGAAAAGAAAATCAGTCTCAACAGTAAACGACATTATAAAGAGAGAGTTATTTTCTTCATGGTCCGATCTTATGCAATACTATTTGCATAGGACGCCCCCACTCACATGTCTCCACATGTACAATTTAGTGATCATATTGTTTATATCATATACAAAAGTGGGCCGCGTCCATAGTGTCCCCAGATAAGGTACTCAGCCTTATCCTTATACTATAGATCATTTTGACTATATACTTGAACTTGATCCACTTTTATGTCTCTACATATAGTTCAAGTAATCATACTATAGCCAGAGTGTTCTTAGTTTATTGGATTTAGATTAATGATCGTAAAGTTCACTTTATTCAATAACAATCTTTACCGAATAAACATCAGTAATAACTTTATTGAAAATAGAATATGTCTTTGTTTACAAACTATGAGTTTTAGGACATAAAACCCAACAAACTCCCACTTGGACTAAAACTCCAGTGGGGTTTTATAACGTTGAGTAGAGAGAGAAATAAATACAATAAACTAGGGCATCACATACTCATGCCTTTTCTCCCACTTGTTCTAGATTACATAACTCGTAGTCCTAGACTCACTAGGTGCCCTTCAAACACTTTAGCCGTGAGAGGCTTTGTAAATGGATCAACAATGTTGTGCTCCGAAACTATCTGTGTGACGACCACATCTCCTCGTTGCACAATCTCCCTTATGAGATGATATTTACACTCAATATGTTTTCCTCTCTTATGGCTTCTTGGTTCTTTCGAATTTGCAACTGCTCCACTGTTATCACAATAAAGAGTGACGGGAAGATGCATATTTGGAACGACTTCCAAATCAGTTAAGAACTTTCTAAGCCATATAGATTCTTTCGCTGCTTCACAAGCAGCAACATACTCAGCCTCCATGGTGGAATCAACAATGCAACTTTTCTTTATGCTTCTCCATATTATTGCTCCTTCGTTCAGAGTGAAGACAGATCCTGATGTCGATTTCCTCGAATCTACATCAGTCTAAAAATCTGAGTTAGTGTACCCTGTAAGGATCAGATCCTTAGCACCGTACATTAACATATAGTCCCTCGTTCTCCTAAGATACTTGATGATATTCTTAATGGCTGTCCAATGAGCACGTCCCGGATTGGACTGATATCTGCTGACAATTCCCACAGAATAGCATATGTCAGGTCGGGTACATAGCATGGCATACATCAGACTACCGACTGCTGATGCATAGGGAATGTGTCTTATATCATCAATTTCTTAAGGTGTCTTAGGACTTTGTTCCTTCAACAAATGAACTCCATGCTTGAAAGGTAATAATCCTTTCTTGAAATTCTACATATTATATCGAATCAACATTTTGTCGATATACGATGCCTGAGACAATGCTAGTGTTTTGTTCTTGCGATTCCGAACAATTTGGATTCCAAGAACAAACTGAGCCTCTCCCAAATCTTTCATTTGGAATTGTGTCGCTAGCCAATGCTTACTATCAGTTAGAAATCCCACATCATTCCCAATGAGTAGAATATCGTCAACGTAGAACACTAGGAAAGCAAGTTGACTATCCTTTTATAAACACAAGGTTCGTCAACATTCTGTTTATAGCCATAAGATTTGATCGCGGTATCAAACTTTATATTCCAGGATCGAGATGCTTGCTTCAACCCATAAATGGATCTTTTAAGCTTGCAAACCCTATGCTTGTGATCCTGTTCAATGAACCCATCTGGTAGAGCCATATAGATACTCTGTTCAAGATTTCTGTTTAGAAAGGCTGTCTTAACATCCATTTGCCAAATTTCATAATCATAAAATGTGGCAATAGACAAGAGTATTCTAATCAATTTAAGCATAGCAACAGGAGAGAAGGTTTTTTCATAGTCCACCCCCTCTCTTTGGGTATAACCCTTTGCTACAAGACGAGCTTTCAAGGTTTGTACCTTACCGGTTTGGTCTCGTTTTCTCTTATAAATCCATTTACAACCAATAGGTTTTACCCCATCTTGTTGATCTACAAGTTCCCAAACTGAATTGAAGTACATTAACTCCATTTCAAGATTTATGGCTTTGATCCACAGATCTCTATCTTCATCATTCATTGCCTTTTT